ACGGCATTTTTGGTTTAAAAACAACACAACTGCTTGTGTAATACGCTTGAACATGTGCAAACCGATATTCATGCGACGACTATTCTTGAGCCGAGTGTCCTTGCCCTGCATTCTTGCATTAATGCATCACATTTTTTGCACCATTGCAGTTTTGAAGCCTCCTCGATGAAATACAGCCCCGTCTGTCCCTCTCAGTGGTATTCAATCTCGTTGAACATTCGGAAGTATGTTTCGCATTATCGCATCACACTCCAAGCGCATTCAAAACACCAGTGAAAACACCATTGCTTATTTGCCTTTTTTTGCATTAGCATCTAATCAAAATGTTCTCCCAAATAGGCCTGATCATCCCTGCCCCGTCTTGGCTGGGCTTCGGTTCTCGCTCGTGAGTATTTGCATATTCAGCCACATATATGACTGGAACGGAGTTTTCGAATTTAAAAATATTTTTAAGTTTGCGTCCTCATAATAGTAGAAAAGACAGGATGGCATGGTCTGCTCCAAATCTGACGGTGTCATATGATCAAATCTGGTCCCACACTCACGGCTAATACTCGCAATGCCATGTAATAACCGTGTACTTCACGGTTCCTGAGGGTGCGCGGTTGAAATTGTGTCCCAACACTGTAATGTGTATTAACCGTGTGAACGTGGGACAACAATTGTGACCATACGACAAGGTCGGATTTTGAATAGACCCCGTCATCTACCCTGTTCTTTCCTAGTGACAACCACGCCACAGTGAACATTAGGCGTAAGCGCATCGGTGGTTTCCTTGCCACGGAATTTAATCCAGTGGATTGAACTTTTCAACGCAGGCCAATACATCCACCTTGCGTCTTGTGTCGATCAAGGACGCAAATCCAACTTGAATCATTTTTTCAAACATGCGCCTACGCCTCGGCACACCGGAAACCGCTGGGCACAATTGTGAAGAAAGCATTAACACCAACCACCAAAAACACAATAAGTACCATGTTGGCAGGGAATCCAATCGCATCAGGAATGTTCTGTGAAATTCCTTGATATTCCTAGGCCATTAATAGCTCACAAAGGGAAGCCGGGAACCAACCTTACAAAGAGTTTTCCAAAACGGAACCATCGAATGTAGGAAAAGAGAGAGGAAACGTTCAGAATACCAATAGCCACAGCAATCACGAAATTTGGCACAGCACAAAATACATACAGACTATGCATCAAAAAATTATACTCTTGCCTGAATTTTCCCCTGGTATTTCCTGCCTGAGAATAGATGCATTTCACGTGAATTAAACTAATTAAGTGTATTCGTATGGGCGTTGGCCAAAACGGCAATGATGTGAATCTACCATCCCGACTGCCCACCCCTCGCGTACGGCGGTAGTACGGTCCCACAGCATTCGTACTGAGCTGCCTGCGGGCTTCTTGTCAGCGCACCGAAAAGGAAGGGAGCCGTCCGATGTGACTTTGGATCACAGGCCGCCGGGCAGAGCTCCATTTCGGTGCCCAAGAGAGAATATTTTTCCGTTGGGCTTGGAAGCACGGTCAGACACGGGCGAGCGAGCAACCAATCTCGGGCGCCCCGCTCATGAATGCTTGCTTTCGGGAATCACGGGTCGACACGCAGGCGATGCTAAGGGGCCAGTTCTTCCCGTTTGTCCGGCCCGCTTTTCACCAATCAGGAAATATGCCGCATCAAGGCGGGGGCAACCGCCGTCGGCCGTCAGCCCGTAGTTTCGAACGACCCGGTCGGAGTGTCCACCCGGGAATGGCCCGATGAAAGGCTTCGGGCGGCGCCATCGAACGCAGCGAGCCGCCCGAGTCGTGCGTGTCAGGGGTCCCACCTTACGGGCTGTCCCGTGCCGCAAACTGCGCCGCGCGTACATAAGGTGCGCACATCAGGAGCACGTGGATGTCCCAATCCTGCCCTCGCCGATCAGACGAAGTACACGGCCATTGGGCGCCCGTCATGGGTCCATCCCCACAACATCGTTGGGGCCAAGGTTATAGTTGATGCTCGATTCCCGGGACGGGCGCCACCCGGCCCGGACCCGAAGTTCCTAGGGAGCGGGGTGGCCGGGAAGGCAGCGACGGTCCCATACTTGTACCCGCCACTTGCGGGTTTGGCCTTTGTCTGTTGAAAGCCGTGGGAGGGACGACGGCAGAGAGGCGGGCACTCGGTGGCTGCCTGCAGACCCGGAAGGACCCGCAAGGAGACGGTGGAGTAGCTCCCTTCCGCGTTTTGCAGGCCCAACCGCCGAGCGTCGTCCGAGGTGCGGCGGGTGTCAGGGTGCGGGGTCCCGCTCTACGGTAGTATCCATGCGCGGAACGTGGGATCGCGCCGGGGGGCCATCGGAGGCCCCTCGGACTGGGAAAGGGTGTCGGGACTGGGCTGCGGGAGCCAGGGGAACGGTGGCGCGGGACGCAGGGCGGGACTGGTGGGGGGCGGTGTGTGAAAGATCATCGGCGGGTGCGGCGCATGGAAATGGCACCGGTTTCATTGCACCCTCTGTACATTTTAAGTCATCGAGGTTGAAACGCCACCTTGGATTGTTCCCGCCCACCCCTCCGCAGCGAACAAGGCGAGCCTCATGGAAAGCCAACCTCCGATGGGTGGCCGGCACTGCGAACGGCGGACGAAATCCTTGTTGTTTTAGCCGTATTGTGGGCGACGGTTCACAGCCTTGCGCCCTCTACAGCCCTGGTGTTCCCCACTCGGCGCGTGATGGCCAGTCCCCGCAGGCCCGCCCTGGAAAGGCCCCTCGCGGATAGGCGGTCATCGGCGATTGGCCGGTTTTGGTCCGTCTTCACCTTTCGAGACTCGACCCTTGTTTCAGCGCATTCACCCGCACCAGCCCCCAGTTCCCGCGCCACACCATCCCGTACACTGTGGCCAGCCGCGCCGTGTTTGGGCCCCTTCCGTCTCGCAGCGCCTTCTGCACCCAATGGGGGACGCTAATGTTCCCCGCCGCCCCTCCCCATGCCGACTCTGCACAGGCGACGCTCCGATGTCCCGGTGCGTGCGCCTGTCGGGCGTCCTTTGCCGCGCCTCCCTGTCGCCGGGTCAGCCCATTCCGCCGTCGCCGCCGTGCTGTGGGCCAAGGGTCCGATGTAGGCGCACCCACCCGTTTCACTTGCACACCCCCTTGGACGGATCAAGCCCAAATCCCGCCCCTCAGCACGGCCTCCATGTCCGGCGCTCGCAGCCGGAGTGCGCCGAGCGAGGGTCGGTTAGTAGTTTGCTCGCACCTGTCGAGAACGCGTACAGCCTCATTGGAAGCCGGTGACAGGGCACCAGCCATCAACACACACCGGTCGGAAGTGCCTGCGGACGATGAGCGCCGACGATCGGAGAGGCTGCCTGCAGGCATAATGCGGTGTCCAACTGACTGGCAGGATGGTGTTCTTGATTCACGACTTCAATGTTCGGGGCCGGAGGCATTGGCCTTCGGACGCGTCGTGCGTCGGGACTAAAGCCGCGTCGGGCACTGCCTCATCGATTTCCTCAGACGTGCATTCACAGCCAGCAGGCGCCCGTGACGGCAGAAGATAAGCAAATCCGACGCCGGAGATGTGTTTTGGCGTCGAAAGCGTTAGTTTTAGGCAATTTGTCTGCGGCGCGTGATGGCACAGTTCCTTTGCCATGGGTGTGTACTGTCATCGGACTCCTCGAGTGGGAAGTGTGTCATACGAATGCCATACAAGTTGTACAGTCCATTGTTTCCCAATTCGGCTGCTGCAGCGTCTTGGATGAAACCCTCCGCTGCGGCAAAGCTGTATTAGCTTATGGCTATCAATGCATGATGGTATACACCCCGGAAAGAAGGATGTACACAGATTTCGCCGCTGCGACGAGAGTCAATTGACTGCAACGGTCACCATTGCAAACGACGCAATTTGGAATGTTGAAGGCTTTGTGCAGCGATGCCAATACCACTACCTCAGAGAGTACTTCAGCATCTTGAAAGCTCATTTTTGCTGGCATATTTCTGAGGCCCATCTTTTGTGTTTGCGGCAGGCAGAGGCCAACGCTTGTCAGGATGAAGTCCATGGGGTTGACGCTCCTCGGATTGTTCCTGGTGAGCAAAACCTGCTTATCCGTGAGAGTTTGGAATACAGCTGCACTGCGTGATTGCTGGAATACGTTGCCAAAGGAGAGCAGCTAAATGGGTGCTGCACAGAGACGATGGATCGGTTGGTTAGATATTTTGGGGCCGCTCTGTTCCTTTGTGGCTTGTGCCGTGCGTGAGCGGCCTCCGTCTGCCATTAACGCAATGCCCGGCCTGCGTATATCATTGTCTCAACGTCGTGTGTTCCAAGGTGTGCGTGGCCGGAGTCCAAGGCCAGAACTCCGCTAGCGCCGGCAGCGGCGTCGACGCCACGTCCAGGGGCGGTTCCGCCTCAGCTACTGTTAGCGCCACCACAACTAATGGAGAAGTGAGGGCCTATGTCGAGGCCAACGCAGAGGTGAGTACCAAAGCCTTCGTGCGACTTGCGGTCTGCGCTTGCCCTCCGTTCAGTCACCTGGTCAGCTTGTTGCCCGGACCTTGATATTTCTACGAGAAGAGGCGCCGTCTGCCGCCGCGCAGGGAGGTGATGAATGTGGAAAGTTATGCAGTCTCTCGGACAACGCACTGGAGGCAGCCGGCTTCCAAGTTCCCCCTTCGTTTGTACGTGCTGCACCCACTGATGCCTTATCCATGCGTGCATGCATGGATATGGCATCCGCCCTTCGGACGCACCGGAGCCGAACTGGCAGGGCTCCGCCAGCGTCAGCGATATCTTTTTGCCCATTGTCTCGTTCCACGCTGGCTGGCACCTCCACAGAACCGCACCGTCCCCCGGACTTCAGCTTCACTGTCCCGGTGCCGGCTGTAGTTGTACACTCCAACCGGCGGGACCGACCACACAGCGCAAGGCGCCGGAGCAGCGCGTCTTGTCCCGGGGACAGCTGCAGGTAACGGTATTCATCAAACGAACAGCGCTGTGCCATTGGATGAACGGCTCTGTGCCTGCTGCAGGCCTACGCTGTGGCAGAGAACAACATCGCCACCGCCGTCGCCACCGCTGTCGCCAACGTGGCCGCTGGGGGAGACGCCACCGCCGAGGCCTACGCAGCAGCCGAGGCCTGCGCACTGGCCATCGCGGAGGCCTACGCCAGCGTCACGATCAACATCGAGTCCACCGGCAACAGCGAGGCCTGCGCGGAGGGCGAGGCCACGGCCTACGCCGCCGCCACCGCCTTCGCGCAGGCCTACGCCCAGGCGCTGGCCGTCGCCTGCGACAGCTACGACGTCTGCGGCACCGGCGCTGCTGACGTGGAGGCCATTGCGACGGGAACGGCAGAGGTGGGCGTGGAGAACATGTTAGTCCCCCGTCTTCTTCCCGTGAAGATCCTTCTTCCGCTGGCCGCATCTCTTCGTATCTGTTATGTGTACATTCAATTTGACGCCCTTCCAAACGTTCCCAAATCGGCGGCAAATCGCCTCGCCAGTCTCGGTTTTCTTTGGGATCCTGCGCTCCTTCGTCCTTGTTCCCTTTCTTCTTCGTCCAGTCGCTTAAGTGGAGATCGCTTTGGTTGCCTTGTTATGTAAAGATGAATGAAGAGGAGTAGATAGCGTTGGTGCTGTGTTCGTATGCCCTGAATCGCTTGGGCAAATGCGCAATTTGCGTTGATGTGGATAGTCTGTGCGCGCGTGTGCCTATTGGCAATGCCTTGTTTGTCGCAGACGCGCGTTTGTTGCAGTTTTCGGTCCTTTAAGACATTTCTACGGTGGTGTCACCAATCGGTGCAGCGCTGAGTGGCCAACTGATCCAACCATGGGCAATCGACAGGAATTGCCATCCCCGCCAATGGAGGATATGGACAAGTACATGCTGTGGAGGCGAATAACCAAATCATCTTTCTTGCGATGCAGGCATTTGCGACCGCTTACAACCGGGGTTGCGTGGAGGGCACGGGCACTGTGTTGCTCGAGACCGAATCGTTTGCGCAATCCATCACTGAAATCTACGCTACCGCCCTCGCCGGTGCCTTTGGCGCAGTATCCGATGGTGAGCCCGACTTGCTACCCTCCTTTCTAATCTCTTGACAATGCATTCGACTTCCCTCAGGGAGGTAGACATTGCAAGCGCAGAATTTTGCCTGCTTAGTGTTGGAAATGAACCGTTTTATTACACATGCCAGTTTTAAGATGAACGTATGGGCTTGATGGGGATAGTTTCGTAACTGCCCCCAGCCATTCCCTCAAGCTGACAATGAATGTGTGAACGACGGAACGTGTTGACATGAAAATCCACTTGATGGTGAGGTGGTTGCGCCGCATTCTATTTGATTTCTCAAACACGGATCCAATACGAAGCACAGTATGATATGCAGGCAAATGCCTCCCAAGACGGCTACTTAGCAATTTGACCACCACTGAATTATGGAGCGCTGCTGGCTCCGATGCCGTACTCCACCAGCCACATCAAGACACCAACGACGATTTTAGTATGTAGTGCTATCAAAAGTGTCCAATTTGGAGTTGGGGTTTAATGGATCTCGCAGGTTGAACAATGTGCCTGACACCTCGTGGCGGGCGCTACGGCTGCGCTTGCAACTCTTTTAAGAAACGCAATGAATACGGCGCACACAACTGATAAGACATCACGTTGGCGTAATCGCGGTCAAGTGATGTGTACCAAATTGCTATGCCAAATGCGATTCATCTACACCAGTAGTGCTCGAAAGGGCGTCCTATCCCCCTCGCCAACCGACCTATGTCTTTCAATTCAGTTGCTTGCTTTAACATACACAGTCAGCTTCATGGTAGAAGGGAAAATATCAAAAGGGAGTTCTTTTGTTATTATTAGTTCTTCTTTTATTAGTTCTTGTTTTGCTTCTTCTATTCGCGATATCATGACAACAAGGGTCTTAAAGGCAAAATGCGTCCCTCTGAGAACATTCGCCGTACATTAGTTGTGTATGACCCTGGCAATGCTCTTGCAGGCAGCGCCACGGCCGCCGCCACCGCTGACGCCACGACCGACGTCGTCGACAACAACATCGCCGTCACTGGCAGCAGCGCCGCCGTGACGGGCGACGCCGACGGCATCGCCACCGGCGATGCCGTCGCCGTCGGAGGGGAGACCCCTGTGTGTGATGGCGCCTTCGCCTTCTGCTGCAGGAGCACCGGCGCCGCGAGGACCGGGAAGTGCCGCTGCCCCAAGCCGTGAGTATCCCTCGCTCTGCTGTTCGTCCATTCCGTTCTCTTGTACTGCCAATCCATTCCCCTGTTCTTCCGTTCCATTCTCCTGGTGTTCCTTCCTCTTCTCGTGCTTTCCCTCTGCAATCCACTGAAATTGCGGTCGACAAGACGGCAAGGTTCCCCCGCATCTCGAAGGCGAAGACGGAAGCGCGTACATCCACGGACGTTTTTGTGTGCCGCATCAGTTCATTTTGCCCGCTTGCCACCCTTGCGGTCACACACTGCTGCATGATGGATGTCTCGATCCTGTTGTACCGCTGTCGGAGATTCGCCTGCCCTTGCACCTTTTCTTTGCCACAGTCTCTCTGGCATGTCTCTGACATGAACAATAACGTGGACACAAATAAACAGGAGCGCGCTTCTGTTCATTTGTGTCTCCGTTATTGTTCGTGTCCGTCACCTCAACGGCCGAACGTAGGCCTTTCTGCGCTTTTTCGTCTCCTCGTTTCCAGAAACACCACGACGGGATATTGCAGTGCGGTGCGACACTGTAGAGTGGTGCGAAAAAAGATGGCCGTGGCCGTCCTGGGGCTGCTGCTTTGCACTACATCGTGAGACCGCGGCGTCACGCAACGTACAAGAACGCTCCACAATTCGAAGCATGGTTTGAATTTTGAACCATTGAACAATTTACATTGTACAAGTTGTAAATTTGAGGCATCGTTTGAAGCATTGCAAGTTTGAAGCGGTGTTTGAAGTTCAAGCATTGATGGCCCCAGCGATGTCAAGCCAGTAGGATGCAGGCTCAGAGGGTGCTGTGCGGCTGTTTCGGCGCAGGAAGTGCAACATGATCGCCGTCGCCGATCAGGCCGTCCCCACCTGGCAGGTCAAGTCCAAGAAGGTCAACCTCGGTAACAGGAAGAACCCTAACATCTTCGAGAGGGGCTACACCTGCATCTGCGCTTGAGCGTCGCGCTCACGGGGAGTGCGAGGGTGCCACAAAGTATAATCTCCGGAGAACGACGCGGGGTGCGAGTGGGAGGGTACCGAGTAGGGCATAGGGGCGTGTGGAGACACCCTGATCGGCCTGGTTGCTAGCGAGAAATGGGTTCTGAAGGCGCCCGGACGCGTTTGGGACTATGGCGCGGGCGTTCAGCCAACAAGGTGGCTTGGGGACCTGCCTCGGCTGGCTGGGAGCACCCAGTGACTGTCGCCCTAACGGCGACCACAGGAATGGAATAAAGCAATTGGAAATTTCAGATTCTTAAGAAATCGGCGTCCAGATTTTATCCGCACCGCCTCCCGTTCTGACGGGGGGTGCCCCGATCTGACCGTGCGGATGGAAGCTACAGTGGCGCCAGTGCACCCATTGGTGGCACGAAGGGTCGACGGCGAAGGCTGTGAATGCAAGTTGCGGCTGTGTTCCGATTTATTTACACTAGAGTAGAGGGCGCAGTGCGCGCAGGAACCAAACCAATGTGGTGTAAGTCATCGTCAATGGTCGGTCGGATCATCGGTCGGTTGTGCCCGGATCTCGGCTGAAACACAGAGTTATTTGGTACTCCATCCCGTAAAATCAGGAACTAAAAGAAAGGAACGAAATCTACCATTTTCACAAACCACAGTGAATATTCGTTGACAGAGAACACTAGTAGAAAACGGCATGTCTGCGATGCCAGCTGCGATGCTATTTTGACACAAAGTGATGCCGTCACAGTGATTGCGATGGCATTAAAAGTGGCTGCAATGGCATCAATTTGTGTCAAATGGCGTCGCAATTGGCATCGCAAACAGGCTGCTTTCTGCTGGTGGACACTTCCACCAGCGAAGCTACTTCAGCGTGTAGGTAGGGTAATCCAGCTTGATGGCGCTCCTAGTGCCGAACCGGTAGTTCGGGAGGTGCAGAGCATCTGCAAGATGCCTGCCAACGACTGAAACAAAACCGGTGGAGTCTTTGTTCACGATGAAATGCTGAGGCTGTCGGGGTTTCAATCCACAAAAAGCAAGTGCTGGACATCAACAGGCGTCCAAAGTGTTGGAGAGTGTCGTGGAGGATGTCATGGAACCTGTCGCATGATGGGCCACCTGGCCATAATTTGACATTTCAAAACGTGTACGCCATTGTGGTTCATGTCTAGACACCAAATTTACCGACGGATTTGAAGTTCGAAGTTTTCACACAGTGGCGATCCCAACCGGTGTGGCAACCCGTAGCGATTGAAGGTGCGCCTTCAAAAGTGCGAAATGTGATGCAAGTTGCATCATGCAACTATTTTGGAATCAGAGAAGGGAGAAAAAAAGAGGCCTGGCCTGACAACAGGCACAGGCCATCACCTTCAAAGAACTGAGGACATGCACTCGACCCTTGGGGAGACGGAGTCCCCAACGTGCCATTTTTGTTGTTTGAACCAGTTGCTCCTGTCTGGGTTTTGCAACACTGTAAATGGGCGTCTCAACGAGGTCTTCACACCACGTTGACATCCAGCCGATTTTCAGGGCATAAAATTACTGGCTGCACCAAATCGGTGACTGCTTGCATCAAGTCACGTGCACATCATGTCCAACTCCGTCCAAACTAACCTAACCTAAAACCTACACCCTAAACCCTAAGACTAGACCTGCCCTAAATCTAAACCTTACCCTAAAACTCACCCTAAAGGTAAACCTAACCCTAAAACTGAGGTTAGGACATGGTGTGCACGTGACTTGGTGCAAGCAGTCACCGATTTGGTGCACGCAGTAATACTATTTCGATTGTCAGCCTGGCACCCCACCCGCCGGGTGCCGGCCCCCCGGGGAAAGAAAAGATTAACCCGGCCTCTAAATGGAGCCAGGCCCAACCGCCTCAGGAGCCGAGGAAAAGCCTTCCCGGACGCCTGCTCGCCGAGGGTGGCCATTCGGTCGCGATGAGCGAGGACGGCAGCGAGGCGGGCAGCAATGGCTCCGGCCTCATCTCCTGCCCGGACAGCGACGCGGACACGGGCCCCTTCGGCGCCCCGCCCTCCGCCCTCGAAGGGGAGGCAGAAGATCTCATGGTTAGCCAGCAGGTGAGCGCCATTGCCCGCCATCGGCCGCGAGGTAAGATTTGTTGCGAATCAAAGGAAGCATGTCATACAATGGGCACCCCTTTCCAAGCAAATGTGTGCGAGGTTTTTTTCTGCACTGTAGAAGGTGGATAGAGAGCCTCCCTAGCGGGAAGAATCACACAAGATGTCGCAAAGTGCGGGGGCACCGATGCATATTGTCGAAGGCAACGTTGGACACAGAGTATGGAAGGTCTCCTGATCAGCGGGCAGGTGGGCCCCGTCGCCCGTCACCTCCTGCAAGGTACTAGGGCACCAACGTGTTTGTCAAAGACAATGTTGGACAAAAGAGTTCTTGTAGATGCCAAGCTGGTGATCCCCATTGCCCGCCATCACCCACAAGGTGCAAGGGCGCAGATGTGTTTCAAAGGCACTGTTGGACACAGGGGCTCTTAGCAATGTACTGAGCAGGTGGGCCCCGGCGCTCGTCACCTCCTGCCAGCTGCAAGTGCACCGTTTTGTCTTTCCAGGGCCGTTTTGGGCAAAGGATTTTGGCTGGTGGGCACTGTGACCGCACCGCCTCTTGCCAGGCAAGATGCACAGAGGGGACCGTCTCCCACCACCACCGCTGCAGGATGAAAAGAGTCTTGTGCACACTTGCTCAAGAAGGGGTGCCTGTCGTATGACCTGCATTCCTTTGAAGTGGCAAACCTTTCCCTCACCAACCCACTACTGCCACCGCATGCACAGACATCTGCATCATCTGCCGCAATGTGGATTGTAGTCTCTGTCCCTAACATCCAGGGCTTCTGCAGCACCTGCTGCAGAGTCTGGAATGCCTGTCACAGAAGCTTGCCATAGTGGCAGGCCATTGCAGGGCCATCTCCAATCCCCTTTGGTGACACTTAGGGCCACTGCCACCCCTCTGTTGATAGTGGACCTTCTGCTAGGTGGTCCTGTTTGTCGAGATGCTCGAGGACGCCTACGAGGCCCTCCTGCAGCGCGAGATCACCCCTGAGGTGGTGCCTGGAACGACGGCTGTGCTGATTCGCTTCCCCGTCCCAGGCCCAGTGCGGGCCGTGCTCCGCTGTGAGGATCGCCTCCTGCTGTTCATCAAATTCGAGCACAGGCCCGGCGGCTGGGCTGTGCCCAGGGTGTCCCTGGCTCCCTCTCAAGAGAGGGATTTCAGCGTGGTGACCCAATTCTGGCGCAGCCAGGCGCAGCCACCCTCGACGGATCAGACCACCCTGTGCTACACAAAAGCACTGCTTTTGGCTATAGCCAATGACATGGATGTTGCGTTCCTGATGGACCGGCCGGGACTGGCCGCGGAGCGGGTCCGTGATCGCATATCAGTGCAGGATGAGAACTTTGCGGGGGTGTTCAGGATGCCAATGGATGTGAAGAAGGTGGATGTGGAGGTGGCAGAGATCGTGGGGGAGGCGATGGGCGTGATGGGCGGGCGGATGGTGCGCAACGCGGTGCTGAGGGCGGTGGATGTGGTGGAGGGCAACCTGAGGAGGCTAGGGGAGCGGTGCTACCTGTGTGGCACACGGCACAGGCCACAGCCAGAGGTGCCAGTGCCGCTGCCATGCTGCAATTACCTGTGCAGGTGGGTGCGCATCAGAACTGGCAGGGGGGTTTTCACAGTCAAAATTTGGCTAGGGACATTGTGGCCAAATGGTGTAGCCTGTCAGATACACAGAAGGCACTGGGGTGGGGTAGTTTAGGCTGAGTCACTGAGGTGGGGCTACGATGAGCCAATGTGTTGGTGGCCGGTGTGTGCTGGAAGATATGGATCATTTTGGGGGTTGCGCTGAGGAGGGTGTTGAATTTTGTTGTCTGGGGATTCTTTCATAATTTGCTTGATGCCTGGTTGAAGTCCATCTTTTTGGAAGGCATCTGGGCTTTTCCCACCTAATTATTGGCCAGTCCTCCCAAACGCTTCCATGTTACAAAGGGCATTGCATGTTTCTTTCTCAAGCCCACACAAAGCATCCCTAACCTTCAGTCAGACCTCAGTCATGTCCATTGTAGGAGTGGCGGTACCATGCAGAACAGCACTAATTGCATACACCAAGACCTGTTGTTGCACCTACCGGCCTTTGCCTCCACCGGCCATTGCCTCCAGAAACGAGTTCTCCAAAGTGTTGCCTGTAGCTCTCCAGGTGAGCGATCGGTTGCCTATGACAGCTACAGTGAACCTCACCATAGCTGTTGTGGCCAACAGATCGCTACAATCGTCAAGCTTGGTTTGCGATAGTCCCCTCACGTACACATGCAAAGTATGGCAATCATTGCGTTCGTGCCCACTGGATATTATTGGGCGCCCATCACATCGATAAGGGTTTGATCTCGGGGTGCTGCTGGAATAGCTGCATTTTGGCCTAATTGCCTGTCTTACCAAGTTCTAATTGAGAGCTTCAAAACCTATTGGTGCAGTTTTATGCTCTATCCGCAGATTCAGGAGTTGCAACACCATGTACGTGAACTTGTACTCTGAAATCAAGAGCCGTCCGCTGGTGGTGCAGTTGCTTATGCGCCTGGCACACAGCGCCATCAGCTCCTACAGGGCAGAGATAATTTTCACGCCCACACCCCCAGGGCTTGAAATGAGGTCCCTGCAAATGTTATTCTCGCAGCTGCCCACTGTTGAAGACATGTCAGCTTGCGAGAATGAGGCAAGCATCAAGGCGGCGATACAGGAGCAGGGCAAACGGTGGGGGAAAACTGCAATTTTATATCGATCGGAAAGTGAACAGAGTGGCCCTTGTGCCTGGCAGCCGCCTTGGGGTGAAATGGGGGCAAGAACCTGTACTTAGTCCACTAGTCAGTACTTAGTCTACTAGTTAGTACTTAGTCTACTAGTACTTAGTTTAGACATTCAGGGATTGTTACATGTTGTGCTGCAAACTGCTGGTCGTTGTGCTGCTCCCCTCCCCAACACCCTACCCCCCTTCCTCTTTTCACCCACCTTTTGCTCCAAAGTGTTTCATCACATAGGCAAAAGTATGCTCTTGGCACTTCAAGGCACCTGCAGTTGTTGGAATAGCTGCAGCAAGTGCAGCCCTTCACCTCACATGATGACAGTCATGCAAAGCTCCAATGAAACAAGGTGTCGTGCTTTGGAAACTTGGTCAATGCTGATATCATAATTATAGTTTTGGGTACCAAACAGGGTCCACGATTATCTGTGTGTGAGACACCAACACCAGCGCTAATCAACTGGTGTCTAAATCCTATGTGTTTTTGTATAATTGACTGTTGCTATTTTGCCATTTGTTTGGAACTGAGGGTGGGAAAATGGCCCTTCCGTTTTCAATTGAATATAGGATTAGCATTGGCAAAGTATGAACTGTGCGTGCCACTCTGACTTGAAGCATTGAAAGGAGCTAAAATTTAAAGTGACTCCGTAGATTTCAATATTGAATATCTGTGAAGTCATAGATTCAAGAATCAACGACACTTGCGTGTGTTTGCCCAGTATGTTGTGCTCTGTGTGCGCCAGTGTATGTTCATTTGTTGTGGGTTACTTGCGCTCAATATGTATGTTGCACATATGCAGTCTGGGATTCAGTATTGGACAATTCTGCTTTGGAAATAGGCAGACATTCCACTCTTGCATGCAACCCTTTCCCAGATGCCTTTGCCATTTCCAAGTTATCACATAAAACATATTTCCTCAAAGGATGTTATTTGCTAACCTGTTTGTTTGGTCTTTAATTCTGGCTTGCCTGTGCTCTACTGCTGTATGCTCAGAACAAGAGAATCCTCGTCAACAACGGTGGAACTGAGCTCCTGCAACTCCAGGTCAGCTTCTTTCAAGAGAGGGTTGTAGGGAAAGATATGTCAGCCTCCGTCTGTTCTGAAGCATCAGTTTCAGGGCGCTGATCAGATGAGTCAGAACACTGCATCCACTGGTGCACACTATTGTGCCATCGTCTAGCCGCCAGGTTTCAGGGCCTGTTGAGGGTGTCCTTCGTGCTCCAGGCACGCCATTCATTGGAGATCCATGACGAACAGAGACGATTCGATGTGAACAGGCATTGTGTGGTGAGTCTCAGAATATCAGAAAACTTCTTCCTGCGGTTGTGTCCCGAACTCGTCAACTGGCCACTGCCACTATTTCCAAGAAAAGCTTCCGTGTTGGTGATAGACAAAACCAGACTCCAATGCTGTTGTTGGTGACTTGCAATGGCTGTTGAGTTTTGACCAAAGCCGCACTGGCCACCCATTCTGTGTGGTTAGCAAAATGGGTGGCAATCCGGGGGAGGTCCCTCATTGTGTCCTGGTCGCAGGACATAGCCACTAGGATGGCCTTGCACACCGAAGGCGATTGCGACAAGTCCGGCCGGTTATTAATCATGTTGGGACCTCCAACTATTTTCCCAAAGCACAATCTGCTCTGGGGACTTTAGGGACAGTTTCGTTTTATTTTCTGCTCTTCGTTTGGGCTTTGGCAACAATTCATGGCCATATTGCCATTTTTTTCATTTGCAGGTGTGTTTTGGAGCAGACTAGATAGCTGCCTTCTGCACTTGCTTGTCCAGTTCGCCACTAATTCGGCATTTCTAAACCATGCATGTGCCCTCATAGCTTGTACAAACTGCTGTGGTGGATCATCATGAACATCCCCAACTACATCTCTGAGGTGCCTCTGGATGAGCACCCGGCCATCATGGAGGAAATACAGTCCCACCCCGTTGAGGGTGGCACCCCCCTGGACACTGCAGGCAGCCTACCACCGAGCATCCGTGCCTTCAAAATCACTAGCCACCTGACCAGCCTCAACCGGACATTCCTGGAGCTGCGAGCTCTGCACGGATCTGCCTATGCTTTTCATGGATCGCCACAGGAGAATTGGTGAGTTTTGAAACGCAATTTAAACAGTGAAGTTACCAGACGTTGGCTCCCCCCCCCCCCTTGTAACAATGCATTCGGAACCCTCCACTTTGCTGCGCTGTGCGAGAGTGTTTGTGTACGTCCGGTGACTGTAGGTGCCCAAAATCGACAAGGCGTGCCTTGTATCTGCATGGCGATGTCGGGCGCAAGTCGTCATGTGGCAACACTGCCATCACTATTACATATGGTACATTGCTGCGCCACAACTGTGCCAGTGTCTACTGTGCGCCTCTGCGTATGGCGATCATGATGCAGAGTGCTGCTTCTGTGTCGACATAGGTACAGCTTGCTCAAGCATGGCATGAGGAACATGAGCGATGAGGGCGATTACCGGGTGCATGGCGCGGCGCACGGCAAGGGCGTATACTTGGCCAGGAGTTACAGGAAAGCACTGCGCTACGCCTCTGGTGAGTTGTCCATCGTGGGGGTCGTCGAGGTGGTCAAGATGCCGCAGTTGGGGCAGTGGGACAAGGGCTGGTGCATCGTGGTGCCGGAGGCGGAGTGCATCAGCATCAAGTACATCTTGGTGGAGGGAAGCAAGTTGTGACGTTGGCATCAGTTGGCCTGTGGTGGAGGATTCAGCTTGCGATGTCACATTGTGTCCGATCGTGTTGACAGCCGGCCCTGTGACGTCAGCATCCGGACCCGTTCATGAGGGCCCCAGCACATGGCGCAAGAGTAAAAAAGGAGAAAAGAGTGGCGATTGATGCCGGAGTCTCAGGGCGGGACGCCTGTGCCAGGCGCTTGTTGGTATGGGGGCCCCGGTGCACAACACCAGCATCAGGTGTCCAGATGCCTGTGTTTAAGCCGTGTCTGAATGGGGTCTATTCATGTAGTTTTAACCGCCCTTCTGGTGTCATCTTTCACCAGTCTAACTGTTGTAATACAACGACAGGTAGCCAAAGTGGTGTGGCAGGCGGATGCAGGCACTGTTTGGGTATGGATGCCAGCCTAAACCTGGTGCCAATGTGTGGTTGTGAATCGAATCCTAAAACCTTTGCAGATCAAATATTTGAATCACCAAACATCGTGTCCTGTCAAGATATGCACAACTTCACAGCATCCTATTCGCGATCGCATTGTGGAAGCACACCAGCTCTGGGACATGTTCCTGCATAAGTACATCAAGCAGGCTTGCCCCTGGATCCATGGACAGTCCATGATGTCTGCATGGCACTCAATCGCCAACTCAATAATTGAAGAACAATCGCTGGCTCAGCGTATCCTCAAAGAATTCATTAAATGAAGAAAACTGTGACATATCCGTGCAAGGAGGCAGCTGCCAGTTCACCATGTCCCCTGGGAAGCGGCGTCAATGCATTTCTCAATGGAACTCAAGGCATTGCACCAATCACATACCCCTTGCCATTTCTTCTCGATCAGACGGCAGCGCTGCATAACAAAGCAAGGGATTCGACCCGAGGTTCACATTGCCCCATTACAGTGTGTCCATGAATTGATCAATGAGAGCTGTCTCCTCGTTTCCACACGTCGTTCATTCGTTTGGCTGGCATTTGAAGGGGTATCGGGATCCATCACCATGCCGTGGCAATGGACAACGTCGCTATTCTACACAATGCTATAGGCAACAACGACAATCAGTGCTATTTCGGGCATGCCAGGTCCTGGAGCCAAAAAGTGCCAAAACCTGTACCATCTGCAAATAAAGCTCTGACACAGATGTGCGATGCACAGCAGTTTCCAGTGCAGTGCGCGAGCAGCAGTGGCAACGTTAAACTATTGTGCAGTTTATTGCGCTTTGCTTTTAAAGCAGTAACACTGCCCTAACTGGCCCCCTTATGAACCCCATTTTTGAAAAAATTGCTTCGCTCCTTCCTTGTCCGGCTTGATGGTGGCGTCCCCGGGCTTCCAGTTCACTGACCGCGGTCACAAATGAGTCAGTGGGGGCCCAAAGCATCCAGTGGGCAAGCGAAGCCAATGGTCCAGCAAGGTCGAGTCCGCATTGCGATTTCGCCACAGAGTGAGCATTTTTCATTTCGGAGCAACATTGAATTGGCGCGGCATGCAAACAGCAAAGGCAGTGTGACTAACAACAACGTAACTACATGACATAATATTCAAACAGGAATACTGCGCATGAAGCCGTTCACAGACTCAACCAAATCCGCAGCAAGATGCATCGGTGCGGCCAATCCTCACCAAGATTCAACAAGTGTTCGACAATTTGCCTTCCAATGCATTCCAAGCATCAGGGCGCTTCACTTCAAGAAATGGCATGGATGGCTCCGCATTGGTGACCCTTCTGTCAAGCGGAAAACAGGGTGGTGCAATCGTGACCCCAGCGCCTGACTCGCTGGACGCCATGCACACGCTTGAATTTCGTTTTGCGGCAGTGTGTTCGCCTGCCCCGTTGCTGCGAGTGGGGATTGCCCGCGGCGATGGGGCGAACGCAGCGTCCGCCGCCACTCATTGCTGTAAGTATGCACCAAAGTGCGACAGCGCAAAGCAGAAAAATAGTATCAACCAGCGGCTCGTACACTGCACTGTGCAATGCTAAGTAGTGCTGCACCTGGGCACGTCTCCCCGTGCTCATCCGCGTACTGGAACGCCTGTATGAGGCGCACCGTCTCGTCCACGTTTCTGCCCACGGCCTCGTCATTGACCAAGACCGACCTGGGCGCATGAAAGCCATGGTCACAACAATTTGCCCACGCCAGTGGCACGGTGGTGTTGCAGTTAGGACTGGTTCAGTGTTGTTGATAATTGAGTGCATAAAAAATGGTGAAGCACTAGGAATTGCATTAAGGACGTCGATGGACGAACTGAATTTAAAGGACACAACGCCCGTTGCGCTTTTGCCTCGGCTGTAAACCGTTGCCATGGACACTGGTAAAAATTCGACCATTTTGCGCGGTGTACAATTGCACAAAATCGTGTTAAAATCGTGTACAAATCGGCTGCTTCAGAGCACGGTTTTACACGATTGCTAAAATCGTGTAGTTTTCAACCCTGTGTAGTACACGAAAGTGGTCCACCTTACCACCATTGACAACACGACAAAGCACACGGTTTTACACGACGTCAACAGTGTACCAGGGGCAATTGCATATTTACACGATCGGTACACGATGTTCACACGATTTTTACACCATTTTGACATGCACAACACGGTACACGAATTTCATGACCGTGCGCTTTGGCCGATTTGTTACCAGTGGGACTCGAGCGTACAATTCCCGTTCAGGGATCGCCACCCCGCGATCCTGCATGCCTTCGCCAGTGGCTTGTTGAACCAAGCCATCATCACCGACATACCGTGATGATTGTCGGCCTGTTTTCAATTGGCCATTAATGAGGATTTTTTTTCATGCTGCAAAACTGCCCGGATGATTGGAATGCCTCGCGTTTGTGTGCAGTTAGGCTGAGTGTCAAGAGCAGAGCAAGTACTCAGAAACCTCCAGAAGTATCGTTTCAGATAATTGAGGCATGCTAGAAGTACTCTAGCTTTTCCCATGTGCTCTTTTATACCAATGCATATCTGTTCATAACTTTCACAAAGGAGAACTGTTTACACAGACAGCCATCTGCTCCTTTATGTAACCCAACATATGTGCAATATAATAATAACCAATATAATAATCTCATGTTGTTCTGGGTTTCAATGGCTGCAATTGTGAGAAAGTGGGGAATGGCCTGCCACATTTGTTTCTGTCACAGACAGTCACCAGATCAGTGACAGTGCAATGCGAAATCAGTGACTATGAGAGGTCAATACAAATGTTGATCGTTTTATGTGCTTGGGTTTACAGCACCTGGACACCACATGCTTCGATCCGGCTGCTGCCAAAAGCAGAATCACCACTGCGACCTGCTTTGTATTAGCGATTGTGCGGAGCTATTAATCAAGACTTCATCTGCTTTCAACTGATTATTTGAGGCTACCTGATGACCCCTTTCGCGTCGATGATGAAGAGTGCCCTCAGTGCGGCCCCGCATAGCTCGTCCTCCTCGTCCTCCACCAGCACGCCGTAGTCCCGGCTGATCTTTTTGCTGAAGTCGGAGATGAGCGGCATCTGCAGCTGCCCCAGGCCGCCCTGCTCCCTGGGCTGCATCGTCCACGACAGGTGGACATGCTTGCTGTCACAGGACACTGCTGCCAGCTGCAGGAAAGTGAATCGAGCGATGCTGTCAGTTAGGCTACAGGGTGGTCGTCCCAGCCAGAATAAGTGCAGCTTGGGGCAGCAGCTGTTTTGGAATCAAGCTAGAGGACACCATACAGCCCCTGAACCTCTTGTGGGAGAGGCACAAATGAATCCCAGATGAGTTCAGGAGGGGGGCAGATGACTGTTATGGAAACGAGGTACATATCAGACAAAGGGCTACCATGTTGCGATGGCTTCAGTGAGGAGAGATCGACAGTTGTCCCACTGTAGTGATGCAGCAACAGGGTGGAGGTCGCGGTATACTGTGTTCCTGACTATGTCTTGAGAGCTCACAGTATAAGTGCCAGCCATATCTGGAGCCATGAGAATCTTTGGCACCAAACCCCAATCTGCTCATTCAAGTGCTGAACCACAACATTGCTGTCTCCTGTGTGCTGAGCAGCCAAGGGCCAGGAGACAAGCATGGACAATGTGGCAATTGATTGCAGCAGCGAGATGGAGCCAAGCCACACCACCTCACCCCGTTGTTGTTGTGTGGAGGAGGGGCCAGGCTCAAAAGAGCATTCCCTGACAAACTGTTTGAGACAATGCATCACACTGGGAGGCAATCTGGCCCTTCAGGACATGTTTCCTGTCCTTCGATCCCTTCACCACAGATTGTCTGCCTTTCCTACTGTGCTCATTGTGTTCCAAGCAATCTCGCAATGTGCAAGAAAGACCCAAACTGTGTGGACAGGAGGGGAAGCCCCATGGTATCGGTGTTTGGCCTTACTCAGAATCATTGGTAGATTGGCCACAAGTCAACAGTGCTGAGCAAACCACTGTGGACAAGAAATCGTGCATAGAGTGAGCGGCCTCCAGCAGGGAAAAGATGCAAAGCCGTGAGGTCACTATTGTGGTTATTGGCCGAATCACTTCGGCGATTCAGCACCACTTAACGTCCAGTGCCTGCTGGCGAAACTCCGGCGTCCATTCTCATGCACAACTTCAGCTCCTACGTCGTGTCATAATCTTCTACTCAAAGAAAAATTTGGAAAAACAGGTTGAATAAGGAAAAATGATTATCACGGTGCGATACGGAGGCATGAGAAGGCGAGCATCAAGGCGGGCCGTGGCCACATGCCGGGCCCCAGGGCCCTTGCGCCCAGGTTCTGGCGCCAATGGGGCAAACAAACGACCAAGATTACCCAACCGGCCACGAACGCGCGATGCGAATCAGCCGCTGAGATCCTCCCACAGGTCGCCAACCCGCGGTGCGAATCAACGCAGGAAGGCAGTCCCATCGGCTCAGGAGAAACGGCCAAGCACACCACTCGTGTGCCTTGTTTCAAGGCACACCAGAGCTGTTGGGCCTATGCCCAGGCGCGATCGCCGGCAGTAGCACAGACGGGGCCAGGAGTCGCGGGCGCGCGGCGCACCTCCGCTCCAAGCTCCCTCAGCTTCTCGGTGGCATTGCTGAAGGCCACGATCTGCGTTCAAGCAACACAGGGAGGTCACGAGTGGACGAAAGAGCGATGAATCCCTTAGACCGCAAGACAAATAGTCTCCACAGGTCCTGTGTGTCGCCACGAGTTCTGGCGCCATCAGCCGACCCAGCCCCACGTTGCAAAGGTTGTCTGTTGGGCAGAATTGATAGGCAGCAACAAGGCAAACGGTGTGCGACCCCATTCCAATGACTCTCTTTCCTACTGCAAAAGATGGTGCGGCGCTCTCCGCTCGCAACAAGAAATAGCGCTCGACACCGAGCAGCGCGCACGCCAGCCCTTGTCGCCGACGGAGCGCTGCACCGACGATGACGCGACCATCCCGCAATCGGGAACAGGGCGCTTCACCAGGCACCCGAACGGAAGCCACACACGCTGTCCGCCACTAAACAAAAACAAATCGCCGCGCCAAGAAAAGAAAACGCGGCGCGCACTGCCGCTCACCTCAGTGGGGCAGACGAAGGTGAAGTCGAACGGATAGAAGAACAGGACCAGCCACTTGCCCCTGTAGTCGTCCAGCGACACCGTCTTGAAGTCCATGCCGATCACCGCCTGGGCCTTAAAGTGCGGCGCCCTGCGGCGAGGCAGGGGGAGCCGCATGCCCGTTCCGGGGCGCGCACCGAGGTCGCCGGCGCCGGAAGGCGGCCTTGCGTCCGAGGTGTGGGTCTGGCTCAACAGCGTCATGGCCGCGGAATGGAGCAAACACGAAGAGGCTGGGGTTGGCAAAGCTGTCGAGCAGCCGAGCAGGGGGGCCAATGGACGGTCTTTGAATAGGGCGTCACTCCACTGGACAGGCGCTTTTTCTCGGAATGTATTTAACTCCGTACCGAATATTGTTGAATCTGGTACCAAACTGCCGCCGTACCAAATAAAACTAGCACCAACGCACATTTAATCTGGTACCAAATTCGCACAGGTACCAAAAATGTTGAACGACGTACCAAAAAGGGGTTGTATCCAGTAGGATTATAACCCGATTAGTCATCAAATCGCCGCCGCCATACAGGCTCATAAAACCCCAACCCTGAACCAAGTGCAACCCCAGTGCCGGTCGCAGGGCTGGTCGCAGGCTGCCATTCGATGACCAATTGGTATTGGCTTCAACATTTTTTGGTACTGTTGGCGTGAGCCGCCCATTTACGGTGATGGAGCGGGAACGGGTCCTCGTGGACCGTAGGCAGCAATTCGGTGCTTAAGAAACCACCACCCTGCCCTCCGTCGACATGGATCGTGTACCGCCACGATCGCTCGGCGCGCATGCCTTTAGATATTTTTGTGTCCGCTCAGCGCCATTACAGCGTGATCGATGGGCAGTGCACGGCTTTGCGCAGCTGTACGCTCCTTTTGGTGCGTTCCATCGAGCCATGCGGCCGTGATTCACGGCACCATGCGCCTCCACGTCACAGAATCGTATGTGCCCGTATACGGCGTACGTACGTCGACCTCATCTCAGGTCGCGCAGCGCTTTTCTCAACGTGCTTTGGCGACGATGCGCTTTTCAGCGAGCCGCACGGCCTGTTCGGCCAGCTGGGCAGCCGCCGCTTCGGTTTCCACCAGAGCGAGCGGCAAGAAGTCCCAAGACGCACGGGAATGCGCGCGGCATGACGCAAGGTGCCATGCCGGGGTCGGGCGACACGATTCGGATCTGAAAGTTGGGCTCTGAGGCCTTCACAAGGCAGTGATACGAGCGCAACTGCTGGCGTCCACACAGAACGTCTGCCGCCCAACAAGTTTCCTCAAGACTCGGCCGATCGCCTTACACGGCTCCCAACGGCAAACAGCACAGCACCCCCGAACCCTAAACGTGAACGAATGGTAGAATGGCGACCCCACGGCCGCGAACGGCTCTCTTACAGAACGGAAAGGACCCTTGGGCCCAAGAATCTCACATATGGCCCGTTCAAAAGGGGCGGCACCCTTCCGATCTCACATACGGTGCAGCCACACACTGATGACCAGGCCTGCTTTTTACGCCATAAAAACTGTTCGTTGTTGCGTTTTAGGCATAAAAATAGTTTTACGTTTTTTGGCGTAAAAATTCGTAAATATAACATAAATACAGCCCGGTGTACATAAGGACAGTACATACAGACTTATGGAGTCCGGGGAGTGGAAGCTAGACGTCCTGGAAGGGGCAGAAAACGAGCATTTGTTACAAGCCATCGTTGCCCTTGGCAACGCCGGGGTGGGCATTGTGTTGCGGGTGCTGGACATGGTAGAGGACTGGTCAGTGTACGCGACGTTCATCATGTAGCTTGGGTGTACCACGGAGCCGCAAAAATGTAAAATAGCCGGCAAAAGACGTCCTTCCGCAAACTTACGTTTTTACAATAAAAACATAAACGTGAAAATGTAAACGTAAACGTAGAAACCAAGCTTGTGATGACTCAATGCATACTCAGATTGTAGGCACTGAACATGGCGTTAGCGTACAAGACTCTCGTCAGCTCGATGGCTAAGCCCCCCCCATACTTTACTGCTCTCCACTACTTCGTAACCAGGACTAAAGCCAAAGAAATGCATATCATTTTCTCAGCGTATCGGTGATCGCCAAATGGCGTATTGCCTTCCTAATTTCTACTTGTTTTCTCAACATGCAACCCCTCCCATTACAGGAAAAGGGCAAAATGATCAACACTTTCCAATCGTGTTCGTACAAAATTCCAACAAAATCCCATAGTTCCTGACACAATTCACAACCATTTGCAGTGCAATCCACAGAACATAGGCTGATGCTTTTGGTCCCAAAGAACCGCACCCATCGAATCACGTAAAGTTCGACATATTATCCTCTACTTAGTAAATTCCTTTCTCCCCTTTTTAAAACAATATTTCTGCTGACCTAACATCACAGCCAACGTCATTTGCCATCACAGAATTCCGCCAAACTCGCCCCCTTGCGGCTATCAGCCCATGGACATGACATCCATTTGTCAAGGGATGGGCACGAAGTATTGCATGAAAAGGCACCATACTTTACGGCACTTCCCAGTGCCCTCGCTCCACAGCTTCCCCAATGTACTCTATTCTTCCTGCCGCCCATACAAAAGGGATATAGTACTATACAGGAGTGGATAACGTGGGGACCTGCGGTGCACTACTGCGGCTGCCCAAATATATACAAAAGAATGAGCCTAATACTTTCAGCAAATGCCATTCTTCTCACACCATGGCGTTCTGTTTCACGAAGCCTTGTGGAATTGCACGTATTTCAAAATAACCTTTTTAGCGTTTTCTGATTCGACGCTTTAGCATGAACAGCTCCCCAAGACACAACTGCCTGATAGGTTCTCAGGGCTCCTTTGCCTGCATGCATTCCCTGCATGCTGCCCCACACGTTACAATCCAACACTCCCAGCTCATGTCCTTCCCACCCACCAGGAACATCTTCTTTTTGTCTCTTTCCTTTTAATCCTGCATTTTTCTACTTCAACACAGGCTTGCATGTATGGCATGCATGTTAAACCAGCTGCATCCCTTTCTGGTGATGTCCTGAGGTCATGACCCACACAGGGCTTCATGGCAGTGGTGGGAAAGTATTTTTCACATGCTGTGCGGGTCGATCAGGTGCCAGCTCCTCTCAGACCGCTGACGTGGCTCCCTCACCCATGAGAAAGAATACAACATGTACGTCAGGGCATCTTACGTCCCTCCAGCTTTCATGCATGTGCATTCCTGTACAGGAATTCCCACATGTGGGAATGTCAGGACGCAACCATGCATATCACGAGGATGCACTGAATGAGCATACCATTGCTGAGCGCACCAACCAATGTTAATTGATTCGCATACACCCTGCGATGCAAGTGCAATACAGGTCACGTTTGTTATGAATTGTAAACTTGCGTTCATATGAAGCCCCATATTTTGGAGCAAACCAACAGACCATGTATTCTGCCTCGCCAGGTCGGACGGCCGGAGTAATCCTGAGCTGAATGATCAAGGCGTCATCGGGCAGTTCAGTGAGCCCGGTTTTCCCCCAAGTTAACATCCTTACGGTGCAGGACATCCCAGAACGGGCTTTGACCTGACCAGTCCGGGGAGCTGATCAATTACACGATTCTCTTGAGTGCACAGAGCGATTTCCTCCAGTCAGCTCCTGCCTCCCTCACCTTTCCCGGTGAAATTCACTCCCATAGCATTGCAGCCCTAACATTTTCAGGAGCGTTCTCTATTTGTTTCTTTTTGTTGTCATCAGAAATGGTGGCTTACTCGGGCCATCCCATGCAGTGTGTATCGCTCATACGGTCAACACCGTCGTGACCCAATCACATGAGTGAGTCACCGAGTGAAACGGTGCCCGTTATGTGGCTTCATCGAGCAGTACACCGTTCAGCATTTTTGGTACCGGGGCGAATTCGGTACCAGATTGAATATGCGTTGGTACCATTTTCAATTCAATTGGTGCATTGGCAGTTTGGTACCAGATTCAATACTATTTGGTGTTAGTTTCCATGTTGCTTCGTACGGCAGCAGTGTGACACCAGATTCAATATTATTTTGTGCCGAGTTACAAAATATGTTTAATGATGTATACGCCTTTGTTTCTCTGTTGTTCCGCGCCTGTCGTTCAGGGACGCTCCGATACGCGCTTCGGCTGGAATTCCCTCGCGGCAGGTGGTTCCTCAAATTGCTTGTGGAAGTTTTGCCCGAGTTCTGCCGGATCTTGTTTTTTCCTAGACATCTGAGTCACGCTGGGCGCAGCATTTCGGCGGAAATTTTCTCTTTGTGCGCCAAATTCCGCATCGCGAGGGGAGGTACAGATGTCTTGAAAATGGCCAGGACACTAGACCCCAAGTGGCCCAGTTAGGCAGTTTGTCCTGCGGAGAATACTTGAGAAGACATTATTCAGACAATTTACGACATATTTATTTCAAGCTAGTCTCACTTGGGCGCCGTGGAATGTTTGCCAGCGATCCGTTGTTCCAAATTGGTCATTTGGACATCAAATTTTCTGGCCTCGCTGAAGCCCGCTGTGCTCCTCGCCCAAAATATGGACAAATTTTTAATGGGAAATTAGGTGTAAACACAATTTCTCAATTAGGCACGGCCGAGCATCGACAATCCGGAAGCATTGACAACTTGGAAAACATCTATATGGCGGGTCAGAGCACAAATTTTGCCCCTGATCACTGTATTCGTATCCCCACCATTTTGAAAATCCGCACTACATGTTGCTTGAGACGATAACCCATACAACCCCCTTCCACACAGCTTCTACCTTGGATGAGCAAGTCTATGGGGGTAGGCTCAGCCCACACACCTGGGGCCACAGTTTCCAAGTTTTGGCCCAGCAGGCGCTTACCGGCAGCCCACTTGGTCCCTGCTTCGCTGCCTCAACCCTGCCTACCTCTGCCTCTCCTGTGAGCGCTCTGGTCCTTTCGCATGAGGCAGAAGCGCGAGGTGTGGCAGGTGGACAACGACGGCAGTTGGACAGCAACGGCAAATGTAGGAAACCTCGACCGTAGTTGATCTGCAGATCACACAGCTGTGTGATGAAGAAGGACATGTGAAAGGCCTTGTGCACATCAGAAACACCGCGGGGCACAATGAGACAGTGGGCAGGGACCGCAGGGTCCGGCATCCTTTAGATCCTCCGCCGTCAATTGGATCGATTCATCCCTCTCTATCTCTTTTCTGCACTCAGGTGTATTTCGTTCCCTGAGCGACGACCTGCTAATGGTTTACCGTTTTGATTATTGATATTGGATATTCGCGGCAGTCCTCGGTAACCTGAGGGAAGAGGGCAGTCCAGGGAAAGGTTGCTAACATGGGGCAGTGCTCGTTCCCTTTGAGGGAAGCGTCAGTGCGAACGTCCGGGAGAGCCTACCCTGACCACGCATGCGGCTGCTTTGCTGGAGACTCTGAAATGCCGGGCACCTCTAGCTCACGACAGCAACAACTACTTGACCGTGAGCGAGACCTCGGCGCTTGTTTGTTGATTGGGCTGCAGGCGGCAGACTCTGATATTCAGACGTCAGCAACAGACACCCATCAAGCATGCTAGCAACAAATGCACCCGTGTGCACGCTAGCTGCAAAGTTAGACATGGCGCAGAGTTGAGATTGTTTCTTGAGACAATTTCCTGAATGTCGACACGATATGAGAGGAAGTTAGCAACATGCATTGATGCATCAAAGAAGCACTGACCCTGCTGATAGGCCAAGAGCGCCTACCATGGCCGACAGCAACGATAGTAGCCTCTCATATGTGGTTTTTGTTCAATTCCTAGGGCATTTGTAGTTGCGGAACAATGGATCTTTCACTCAGTGCATCAGAGATGCAGAATTTGAAATTTCACAACAATGCCATGCTTGTGATTCTCCGCTATTGCACTCCTTGCTGCCATCCATTAACAGTAGATGTGCTATTTGTTTCCCCTCCTCCCTCCTTTGGAATGGAAACATTTGTTCGAATGCAAGGGTACAGGGGTTAGGTTGACGGGCTGTGGTCATGTCAGAACGGAGCAGCATCTTTGTGAATTCTGCATTCTCAAGGCCATGCACAGGATTACTGCCTCCGAATGTGGTATTGCATGCCCAGGGTTCTCTGCCACATTGAGCGTCCATGGAGAGGCTACTTTCAGCATCATGGTTATGAATCCCCTCAGCAAGAAGTGGTATTTTGAGAAATGGCAACAGTTTCCCTTCCTGGTGGCATCAATGCCAAAAACGCAGCACACAGCATCAAGGACTACGGCATGCAACTGCTCAGTCAGGTCTTTGTTCATGAGCAAGCCCGCAGTGAGTATGGCCGACTGCGGAGGCAATTGGGTACTGTTAGAACTGAAATTGTAGGCCTCCAGGTTCCAGGTCTCACACTGAGAGGCTATGTGAGATACTGCCGAGCCACGGCCACTGACGCTAGATTGCACACTGATCCACAAATCGATCAACAAGATGAACAATATGGCCGGAATTGGTAGAAGGTCTACAGAGGAATGGAAGCTTTTTTCAAGCTGAAAACTGGTGTTGCTGGGGAAGTGGATCTGGTTACAGCGACAGAGCTTGCCAAATTGCCGGTGCAATACGACATCTCTGTTTGTATACCAAACGCATGCCAGTCAGGCACGCAATTGCACCCAGATAGCCTAAGTGTTGACGGTGCTGGCAGCAGGCACGCTGCTGTTGATACCAGCCTGGGGAGCTGCCTGATGACCTCGTGCTGGCTGTGGTGTACAAATACACCATCTCACCCGTGAAGGTTATGATCAATGCCCTGTACAACCACTTGTTTCATCGGCATCCTGTCCTGGAGGCCCTGAGGCTGAGTATACTGGAGCTGTACTGCGACAAGGAGCGCAACAGAGGCCTCAGTGCCAAAGTAGATTCGGAGGAATGCTGCTGCCTGTCATCCACACCAGGCCACTGCAGATCTGCATTTGGGCGACTTTTGGGACCCCAAGGACAGCGAATTGTGCGTTGAAAAGCCGGTGGGACGGACCGGACTAGGGAAGCCTACTTATGGTTTTGTTAGACGCGACCTGTAAATTCTCCAGATCAAGAAATGCTAGCACTGCAGCATCATAATGTGTTGTTAATGCGAGAAATGGGTGGCACAGGAAAAACTAATCTGCTTGGCCATCTATGTGAATGGTGACAGATGACTCACTTTGTAAGGAGGCCTTAATGGAGTAGAGACTTCTACCTTGTCTGCGATTGTCAGCCCTGGGACATGCAACAGATGTCACATCGTATAGTTCAGGATTATGCAGCTAATCTGAACAGCGCAAGCTTTAAACCTGGACCGATCAGGCACGGGGATTATGCAGATGCACGTCAGGGCTATCAGCAAGAACTGAATATCTGCACTGAGTGCTGTGTTCATCGGGCTCAAGCAGCTGCTCACCATCAGCTGGGGAGAGCGGCAGAAGAATTGAAGGATCTTGAGACGCCCCCTTCGTATTACCGCAATTTATTAGCTTTGAAAGTTGAGCTTGGTGATCGTTATTCTCAAGCAGCCACTTACAACCAACTTGGGATGGTTGCACAGAAATTGAGATACTTCGAGGCGGCACGCCGAAATTACGAGCAAGAATTGGAAATTTGTATTCAGTTTGATGATCGCCATTCTCAGGCACCTGCTTTCTCCAGATTGGGGTCTGTGGCACAAGAGCTACCGAAGCTGGAGCCAGCACTGGAGTATTTCCAATTGGCTTGGAACATTTACACTGACCTGGACCATCACCACATCCAAGCTGTTGTGCAACCTTGGTTGGCAATTGCCCGCATATTGAGAGACCATAAGGAAGCGAATGGTGGTACCTCCACATATGGGCACGGGCCAAAATCCCACCATTTGGAGAGAGTCGCCGAAACTTGAATGATTTTTTCTGGGAGAATTTGGAATCAGTGAAAACTGCTGAATATCAAATCGAAGTGAATGGCCGGCCTTCCCAGCACCTGCCAGCATCTGGCATCTTCGCTCTCATGCTTGGGGAGTTGGAGGCCGTCCGTGAGTGCGATTTGCAGAAACCGGACTCTGCGATAAAGTCCAATGACCGCCACTCCCAAGAACGCCCCTTCTCTGGCTCCAAGGCGAACGAGTCAAGAAGCATACCAGATACCAGTAAGCACTGGATGCACACATTGATGGTGGTGACCACCGTGGCCAGTTCACAACTAGCGACCGTTCACATTATTTTGCAATTGAGCAGAGCGATTTCAAGCACGCATGTCGTGCCGGCAGTGGAGCTCTCTTGGCAGGGCGTGCAGGCAATGGATGACGTCGTAACGACAGAGGCCATAGTTGACCATTACTGGGAGCCTGGAAAGCGGGAATCGACGGCTCCGAATGCTGAAGCTGACCTGCGGAGAGCGCTGCTGCTTGGCGTGATTTGTGCTGATGAGTTGGAAAGAGTATACTGCCTGGACAGCTTGAAGATTTGATCAAAGGCAGCTGCAACTGGCGCTCAATTGATTCCTTGGTTGCCTGCTCGATTTTGGTGGCAGCCGCCGGAAGCAACCTTAAGTGGTCAATTAAAGGAAGCCCTTCGAGTTTGGCAGCAAAACCCTGCCCTACTCAATACAGTACACAGCATTCAGCGATACACAAGGACAGTTCAGGTGGCAGTGGGCGATCGTTCAGGACATGTCGCAATACGTTGTCGGATTGTGCACTCAAAGCGAATCTGGGGAGGCCGCCCCTGTGGTGGCCCTTCCAGCGCACCCTCCCCTAATGAGGGTTGACTGTTGCGCAACACCCACCACCGCGCCAAACATGTAGACTCTGTTTTCAGCAGCAGTAGCCCCCAGCCAGCAAAGTGAATGTGCAAGCTGCCACTGGCACCGCGTACCCACACGACAGTGGAGGTGCGATGGCAACCACGCACTGTATGCAAAAGTTCATGTCGACACAACCTGCCGGTCACTGCACCTCCCTGGTGCGCGCTGCCATCGTTGCCACCAAGCGCCCATCATGGCTTCGTGAGCCGATGGGCTGGCATTACAAAGCACACATGCGCCCTGATCGCCACAGGCCGTTGCCATCCCCTCAACAAGCGTTGGCGATCGTCCTGTCAGCATCCCAACCTCCAACCACTAATGGTGACGCGATGTAACATCTTGGAATCAAAAACACCACACCCACACCCACACCCACACCCACACCCACACACATACACATACATAGTGAGGACATCTGCGCCCACACCATCCCATCGCATGGCGCTCCATTGCAGCCACATGTCCAACTCGCCATGACATGGAAACCACAAAAACACTGCAGCAATACTGCAACGTGCATGAGAACAAGACCATAAACCCTAACCCAAGCTCGGCAATTGTGCTATTTCCACATGTGACTCCTGTGATCAGTAGTCGTCGCCCCGCGACAAGACTTCCTTCTTGGTGGGGTGGAGGTAGACGGTGTGCTCGAACTGGGCGACGTACGACCCCTTCGTGTCGCACAGCGGGGGACAGGCATCGATGATTCCACTGTCGCAAAGGTTCCTTAAGGCCATCAGGTACTTTGTCTCGCCCAGGCGGTCCAAGTACCTGCAGGACGACGCCAGGGAACTGATCTGGCCAACGGGAGATTCGAAAGGGCGGTTTGAATTCACAATTAAGCGTGGTGACACAAGAAAATTAGCGCATTTAATTTTTCTGATGTGCGGTGCTATTCGGCCAGCCGATAGCGCCGCCGAGACCTCCCCCCCATAAATATCCTCTCAGAAGCAATGAGCGTCGTAAGCGACCTGTTTGCGCCAGCTTGGCCAGGGTCGATGGTGCAGGCCTGCGAATGTGCGACAAACAGTGCCTCGACTGCCCACAGCGCCCGTTCCCAGCCGCAACGTCAGCGCCACTTCCACCAGCGCCCACTGACGCGCCACATCCCCAGGGTCTTCCTACATGCTCGATACACCAGCTAAATAACCAACACCAAGTAAGCGATATTAAGTTGCCATTCAATTAAGTTGTAACAAACTATCACAGAAACATCACAAAAATATCAAAATTGGAATACTTTTGTACCTTCTGCAGAAACCCAGCGTGCCAAAGTGCGTGTTGATCGTGTGCAGCAGCTGCTTCGCCCGGGGCATCCGCAGCGGCACATATCCCATGGCGCCGTTCTTCAAGTAGTGACTGCACTCAAGGTCGTCCACCACCCGGCCCCGCCCCGTCGTGCCAAACGTCTCTATGGCATAGAATTCGCCCTCCTCCATGCGAGTGGCCTCGCCGCCCTTCACGATGGGCACGCTGTTGGCGCCGTGCACCAGGTAGTGCGCGACTGAGTGGCCGTTAAGGTTCCTCACGCAGCGCACCTGCAGCGCGTGACACAGTGGTTCTGTAATTCTATACCACAGTGTTGCGGGAGGGAACAGCATTGCAATACGAATTGTTGTTCCTTCTTGACATCAATATTTATGCTTACATGCACATTTTTGTATTTGTGCTTATGTTCGTGTTGTATTGTTTGGGTATCTTTTAAAGATGCAAAAGTACACAAAAGTACCAATTACAGAGAATTGCCAGAAACGAACACCAAGAATGTGTGCAAGCATGTAGTACATGCTTGTACATAATCTTGGTTTTCGCTTCTGGCAATTTTCGGTATTTGGTACCTTTATGTGTTACAATTGTTGGGTGCATTCACGATAAGCATGCCGTTGTCGCCGCAAAAGTGGCTGTGGGCGACTGACTGGTCCTTCAGGTTGCTCACGAGCTGTACGCGCAGTGCAATGCGACAGTGTGACATGCCTCCAGTGGAGCATCGCGTAGTTGGTGCATGCTGTATAAATTTGGTGCACGCACAGAACTAAACGCATAGGCATTGCACATTACACATGATACTCATACGCTGCACACAGGACCAAGTCCCGCACAGCATGCCTGAGCATTAGCAGGTATGGTGAAGCTCAACTCAGCATCTCGTGGGCTCTCAGAAACTTCCCCTCGCTTGCCAGGATGGACGAACGTCCTGACATAAGAGAAATTGTCACCATCGTTCTGGAAAAGGAGACCAAAACTGCCACGAATGAGGGCAAAGATAGGCAAAAACGAGATAGATGCACAGACCTGATATGTCTTGCCACGTATTTCGACCTCATGCGACTCCATGACCTCTTGGATGGCGGCCCCCACATCGCACAGGCGCACATCTATGCCCGTCTCCCGTATACCGGTATTGGTTGCCTCCCTGACTGCCTCCAGCAAGGGGTCGAACATGGGGTTGAAGGTGTGAGTGTAGGCGCAGTCGATAATGCGGCCGTTCACGTGTGTGCCGAAATCTGCAACGTTTGCAGTGCAACAGCCAAATGTTTCACAGCTCAACAGCGAAGCTGCGACCATGATTGCGCTGTGATCGATGGAAACGTAAAGTTGTTTCCATCCACCTGCTATTGAAAATAATTCTGTGCTGGCGGGTCAATAACATAAGTCAATCATCGGTGGCGATAATTGGCAGCTATCGTATATCAATGTGCAGTTTCATGATTCCGATATGGCTCACAGAGCAAGGCCGAATACGGGGTTGATCAAACCCCTCATGAGGATGTGGTTGCAGGGTAGGGGTGATATGGCCACTTGTGCGAATATTTTAAGGTATTCACACCTTTCAAAGTGTGTACGGCAAAGTACTACCAAATTCTAAACCCGCTTTGTGCAAAGGAGTGCTAGAAAAAGATCCCGCACTCAGATTCGGGTCTCTAGCTGACCATAATGTAAGCTTCCGCCATCGAAGCAAATACAGGTGAATAGAAACTTCAACTATAAAGCAGTGTTCTGATCAACATGACGAGATACTTTTGGTCGCGAGAGACATCAAGATATCCAGTGTCCTCAAGTCAAGCGGGGAAAGCAAGCACCTGCAACTCTGAGCGCGGATGATGACAGTGGAACTGCTGCAATCGAGAGCAGAAAGGCAAATGCATCGCCAAAATAAGGTCCCAGTAATAATCACAATAAATACACACACATATCAAGAGTTGCTTTGCGATTTACAGGGAATGAAGCCCACACCAACTGCATGACGTCACTCACCTAACTTCATAACGTCATCGTACTCGATGACCGTCTTGTCCCCCGTGTTGGGAGTCCAGTGCGCTGCCACGTGATTGAGGCTGCAGCCTGTGCGGTCAGGAACAAAACAGCTATCAATGCCAATTCAGTGCACATCTGAATTAGAAGACTTCAAGTCATTCGACCATGGTTGCTGGCCAGCGGACGCCCTGACTGCTGCATTGACCAATGTAATGTTTTAGGAAAGAACATCAAAATGAACCAACATACCCTTTCAGGCAGGTGTGATGATACGCTCGTGTGCATTCACACATAATGTATGCCGCTGTAGTGCTCGTCAACTGCATCAGCCGCGCAGCACTGGAACACAACATGATAGCATCGAAAACGAGCATGGTGACAACTGCGGCACTGTGGCAACACATGACACATGGCTGATTGATTCTGGTTGTTGAGCTATGTTGCTCATTTCACGCTCTTGTTGGCCGTGCTTCCAGCGACGTTTACAATATCGCAATAACATACAAAAGAATACAAACACACGAGCTAGTGACCATTTCGTGTATTTACATCTTTGTATACTATTGTACTCTTGCTAAATATCACTGAAAGCATCGACTGTCGACTACTGATCGAATCCCGAAATCCTGCATTTACAATCGCAACCTAAAACTCATGAATTGGTACAGCAACTGCAGCAAACAAGTTCGAGATGCTCTTCAATTTCCCAAAAAGTGGCCCTGAACCGAGCAAGCTACACTGCCTTTGTTGTGTCATCAATCCTGACCTGTGGGAAATGCGATTCCGGCATCCAGCCCATTTTCGGCTATCAGCTTCCTGACCATGTCCTCCAGCGTCTCACAGATGTGCACCATGGTCATGCCGGGCTTAATGTAGCCCTGCATGTACTGTCGCACTTGGCGGTGCACCTCTGCGGCCTGCCTGGCGTCGTTGATCATGTCCTCCTGGAGCTCCACCCGCCTCTGCATCTCGTCGCTCTTCTCGCGCCACACATTGCTGCAACCCAGGCAAAGAATACACACATTGTATCAACTTCTTTGTGGATGTATGTATTTCTTCAAGAAAGATGCAGTTCCATTTTCAATATGCAGACACACAATACGTTAACTACATCATGTACAGTGTATCGCTGTGAGGCTCCCCTCACCTCTGGCTAGCCCACCATATATAGCACTTTGGTCCCAGGCTGCCACTTTTTTTTTGCATCCATTTTTTCAAATTTCATCGCTCAAACTATAAAACTATGTGTACAATATAAGCAGACAATGCACAGACACAATGTTCAACATAGTGTGCAGTGTACACCATCTGCGCACACTGTGCATCATCTGCGCACACTGTACACCATCTGCGCACACTGTACACCATCTGCGCACACTGTACACCATCTGCACACACTGTACACCATCTGCACACACTGTACACCATATGCGCACACTGTACACTAGAAGTGTAATATGTGTACACTGGACACAATGTATAATAAATAGCACTACGCACTACATCAAATGCAGGGAAACCTGTTCAGTGACAGATGGAATGTACAATAAAACTGTAAAAAAAGCGAATAACCAAATGATACATCCAAGTTGCTTGCAATGACTGGGCCAAACCGATGGGTGCAAGGAGTTTTGCCACTCACTCGGCTCCATACGACTGCCATTCGCCCTCTGGAAACTTGCCATCCACAAAAAGGTCCTTCACAGGAATTGTTGGTGGGTCGGTCTGTGTGCAGGTCTGGGATGCTGTGGCACACACAAGAGAGTCACAATTCGCTGACGTTGTGATACACATGATCACTGATCGAATCACTGGTGAACCGTCGTGCGTGCAGCCATTAGATATATCAGCAGTAGTCTACCGCTGGCTGCATACCAAATATGCTTACATTGACATGAACTGGCATTTGCTGCAACTGAAAACCCACACAGGCCACAACCTGGCAGCAGCCTCGAAATCAGTAATTTAAGGGCTCATTGCCCAACATCCACAAGAAAAAGAGACAAGTGCAGCAATAAACGTTAGAGGCTGATGCAGGGGGCCGAGTATGGGGTGAGTGATGGTGTTGTGCAGACCACTTTGCAGTATCCTTATCCAGTCATCCCAACGCCTCGCTGCGCAGATGGGGCAATGGCACCAATTTTAACTGAAGCCGCCCAAGGAATGGTGCCTCACTGGTGATATTTGGTACTTCCACAGTGGCCTCCACCCATTGAGCATTTGCTCCAACCTGTGCAGCCATGGCCTGTACTGGGTTCAGGTAGGATTCCTACAGCTTGGTTATCTGCTAGACAACAGTCCGTAGGATCTGTTGCTCTTGGGTAGGGTTTCACCAGGTTTACGTCTCTGATATATTATCATCAGGCCCCCTGGCTTGTATGTGGGTTGTGGGGATTGGACGATGTCACGATCCAAAGAGGCTCACTTTTCGGCTTCCTCTTCTTCTTCTTCTTCTTCAGCATGTCCCCGTCCTTCCCCTCCTTGACTTCACTGGGAGCTGCATCATTGTCTGAGCGAAATTGAAACTCTATCGTCAGTGCATTACGGGGTTATGTACATAGGGCAGGGTATGGGGCTGGCTGCCAGGGGCCCAGGCATATGGCCTTACCTGGGCCACGATCAAAACTCACCAGGTTCAAACTCCCTGCTTGCACCTAATCTTGAACATTTTTGTTCCGTGTGAGCTAAGATTTGGAACAGGTACATGGATTCATTTGCAAATGTGAAGTACTTTACAACCACAGTCACATTGCTTGCCTGTAACCTTCCCTTCATCCTCCAACCCTTCCCCATCTGCTGGCACGCTACTTCCTCCTGCATTCTTTCTGGCAGCAGCCTGCTTCTTCTTCTGCCGCTTTTTCTGAGCCTTGCTCAGGCCATCGCTGGCCTGCACGCAACAACAGGGTTTGGAGTGTCAATGCAGTTGATAGCCCTCTTGGCAAGCCCCCATTTGGCGAACGAGCCAAAGTTGCAAGAGTTGATCAGTTTCAGCACAACAAAACACATGGAATCCTGGGTGATGATGGAACCCCAGTTGAATGAAGCCACTCTGTCTCCCTACCATGGGGACAAACTGAAATCATCCATCCCTGTTTACCATGTGAAATGTGCTCACCTTTCATCAACCTTCTCACATGATCAAATCATAGAACCCTGATATGATCAATCTGTGCTTAGCTGTCCAACATACACCCATTTGCACCAATTTGAGTGGCAAAAAGGATGAAAGGAACATGCACAGTGAGCTCCTGAGTACATATGTTCATGCTGTCCACATTTTCACACTTCACACAATTCCTGCTGCTGCCAGAAATATCTGCATCAATTGGCACAATGCAGCAAAGAGGCTAAAAAAGAATCTTTCCAATGAGGGTGGTGGCCTCCCTTTCATCCAAGCCAATTTGTCCTAGTGTGGAAAAAGAGAATCAGTCAAGGGCCACCTTATGCTGCAGCGCTGGCAGCCATGAATGGCCTCCCCAGTCCGTTTCAATCCTTTGAATCATTCGCTGTCAAATAACGACGCCCTTGCTGCGCCTTCCAAGGTGATTATGACATACTTCCATCAACTGAATGTCCCCAATCCCGCCCAGGTGTTCTCTTGGCACATATTTTGATCGCATTCTTGACAATTCACATACTTGTGCCCAACACCACCTTGATATTGCAATATTTTGTCAGTTTGGGACAGCAGCGGCCAAGGGACTCACAATTTCATGATCTCAACCTTGAAACTACACCAAATCCACTTCCCCATCAGCCATCCTAACGAACAGCGCCTCGGATGCTCTCGTTCATCCATAGGAGGCACTTTGGCGCATCCCTGTCCGAATTCACATGATTGAAATATTTGCCACAGCAATGCTGCCCCTCGCCACCCTCCAGTTCCCTCCCAAATCCAGAAGAAATCTACCGTCAAAGCATATAGCCCCCAAAAGGTTGGTCAGAGGAACAGTCGGTCATTGAGGCGGGAGATCATCGAACACGGCAGCGAATGCGGGGGAGATCAGCCAAAGCGGTCGTTCCTTGCCCGAAATTGCCTTGGAAGATGCGACTTTTCCAATCACCCGCAAACATTGAATGCGGAAAAAGAATCCCAGTGGTGTGGTGACCCAGCATCCACAAACCGAGGAGGGCACGCCGCTCCGACGGCCCTGGCTCCGATACGCAGACACTCCGATACGACGCCGATCACCCAACGCCCTGAAATCATCCCCGATTCCAATTTTCAGCTCCCTTTCCTATCAGTCACCAGCCCACCGCGACATTAAAACATCGCGCGCCGACGCACACCGGCCGCCAAGCGCCCCGGGCTCATCCCAGACTCCATTTTCCTCCTCTTCGACCCACCGATCGCCAAACGCCCGAGACGTGCAAGCATCCCCGTTGGGCGGATGGGCACTGAAGCGGCTGGACCGCCCTCCTCCTGGACCCCGGCCGGGCGGCTTGAAAGAGCAGTGGAACATCCCATCAGGAGTATCTGGTTCGATCTCCGGTCAGACTTCCTTGCTATCATCCACACCAAAACGATCCCACCTTGTGGTCATCCCCACCAGAGGGCCCCGCCCCGTCCGGCGCCGGCAGCCCCAGAGACGGGCTTTCCTCGGCGGCGTTCGGGTCCTTGGCCGCCGGCATGGCCCCTCTAGCTCGCGCCAACCTCCCGTCGCTGCGGCAAACTCGTGCTCTGTTTCAAGGGCCCCACCTTCTGGATGCTTTGATTTCGACGACGGCCCCCCCGTAATGCCGTCAATGATGCTGTCAGCCAATGGGCGGGCCAGCATTCCACAACCCGGGGCAAAACGGGAAGCTGGCGGGTACCTGCTTGCCTTGTTAGGTAAGGAGGGTCGATGATGATTGATGGTTAAAGCGCGACAGCCTGTGCCCTCGGGTGCGGTGCTGGGTGGACTCGGATTGGGTCGACCTGGGATTTGGGGTCGCGGCAGGCTTTGGTAATGGGCATGAGAGCCCGGAGGGGCTCCGCTGTGGCAGGGGTAATGCCCACGTAACTGGGGAAGAATGGACTACAAATGAACCCTGGGGGCGTTACGACCCGCGTGTATTGAACTCCGTACCAAATAACATTGACTCCGGTACCAAATTGCCACCGTACCAAATAAAATCGAAACTAGCACCAAATAATATTCAATCTGGTACCAAACTGCCGACGTACCAAATAAAACTGAAACTAGTACCAACGCATATTGGATCTGGTACCAGATTCGCGCCGGTACCAAAAATGTTGAACGGTGTACCAAAAAATGTTGAATCAGTACCAATTAGTCATGGAATGGCAATCTGCGACCAGCCCTGCGACCAGCATTGGGCTTGCGCTTGATTTAGGGTTCAGGGTTCAGGGTTCAGGGTTTATGAGCCGTTACGGCGGCGGCGATTTGATGACTAATTGGTACCGGTTCAACATTTTTTGGTGCACCGTTCATATTTTTCGTATTGGCGTGAATTTGGTACCAGCTTCAATATGCGTTGGTAGTAGTTTCAATTTTTTTTGGTACGTTGGCAGTTTGGTACCAGATTCAATACTATTTGGTTTGGAGTTAAATAGGTTCCGTTACGACCTGCGGTGGCTGATTCAGCGGCTGTGATCGAAAGAGCGCTGTTGAGGGATATGCATGGAGGGATGACAGGAAAAAGCGCTCTTTGGAGCGCGCACAGGGAGCGCATGTTCCACGTTTTGTGGCTGGTACGCAAACAAGCTTCCCACTGAGTCCGGGCTTGCATTTTTGTTGAACCCAGTCCATTTTACCTCACAACGTTCCTCTCAAACGGCG